GACAGTTTCATTCCAGATACGTAATTTTTTATTGAGAACTTATATATCGTTATAGTGCAAATACTTCTGTTCATTCACATTTTAGAAAGAAGAAAAAATTCTTGCATTCCACATGAAAGTGTCCCAGATTTTACGTAAAAATTCTTGATGACTTTTACATGCGATCTCTTCTGAACCTGGCAGTTTGTAATCAGCTGTCACCTAGACATATTTAATTGAATTAGCGTTATTTGGTAATTAACCAATTAATTATTTTGACACCTGTCTTAATTACATTTCAGGTAAACATTATATATAGACGGATATATTTCATTTATTTGGATATATACACCATGAAGTTGCAAACTATCTTTGGAATAGTGCTTACTATATTTACATGTGTTCACGCACGACCATCTTGCAGTTTTAACCAGTATTATAGCATCACTGATGCACAATGCAAAGACTGTATGGCATGCCCGATTAACAATATAATACTTGAACCGTGTGGAAAAAATACGGACACCAAATGCGGACCATGGAAAGATTGGTCTTTCAGTTTCAAACAGAAATCCAAAGCAGAACAAATGTCTACAGAATCGAAAGTCGACGAAAGCAACAAAAGTACGGAAAGCTTTGATAGCCACCACTGGTTCACCATAGCTATGGTTCTGTTAGGAATACTTTGTTTTCTGTGTGTCTGTATTGCCGGTTACATCATAGTTGCCTGTTTTGTTTGGAAAAGAAAAGACAAAGAAATAATTTACAACCCAGGTATGAGAAAATTACAATTATGAAAAATTAAATATGAAAAAAATTGTCTTAAACAGCACTCAACTTGAGAGGTGACAAAATCATATCATAGCCATGATAGCCAGATCAAATTAAAATGCACGTCTGTTGTAAAAGAATAGTATCCATATTTTAACCAAATAAGAGCCCACGAGGGACTCCTGCCGTTTATAACTTTTTATATTCTTCATATACTTGTATGATGTTGTACACCGAATATCACCCTATTGGTTTCTGTTATTTTCTTTAATTTTTGTTAGGGTTTCTGTCTGTAATTGACGTAACACTCATTTCTCCCCATCACTCGTATGTACAATGTAGCAGGGGATGTACAACATTTTAAAGAGATTTATGTTTTAGAAAACGGGGCCACTTAAAAATATTTTGGTTTGCCCAACCCCTTCTAAAAGATAGAGACAGTGGGGAGGTAGGTAGGCATTTTCTTTTTTTCGCCGCAGATAAATTGAAGTGTCAGATGTTTTTTAGTCTTCATGCCTATTTGATTAAAAAAAATTTACATCAGGACAATAAAAGATTTTGAGTAGGCAGTCATTTTCTAGGTAGGTAGGATTAGGGCAAACTAAAATATTCATTTTTTATGACCCGGTATTATGTACATGTATATGTAGTAACCCCAAAGCGGCTTATCGAATTATTTAGGTATTCTTTGAATGAATTCTTAAAATATCTTCTTTTGTTTTACACCCAGACTGAGGAAACTTGTTTTTGAAACGATATACAAACCGATTGTACTTTCTTCCTTTTAAAACCTACAATATGATATGCTTTCTTTGTCCGTTTTACTCAGTTTTCAAAACCTACAATATGATATGCTATCTTTGTCCATTTTTACTTTTCTTTTAACTATTTAATTTCGATAAAAACACAGTTATCCATTGTACTACCGTGTGTCTTTTGTTTAAATTTGTACAAATGTCATATTTCTCACTTTTTTGTTCTCCATAATATCTTTATCTGAAAATGTTCTCCTGTTCCCGACATTCATTTTGTTTAAGACATAAACTGAACAGCTTGACTGCTTCGTTGTGTGAAGTATTGTACGGAATATGGGTGTAATATTAGCCACTGGACGTTAATCTTCCTATACTTAGTTGCACGAACAGACTGTAAATTATTGTACTGTACCATTTTGCTGCATCAACGTGCTTTCGACAAATGCCTTTTCGGTGAGGTTGAAGGCCAAATACTTCGATCGGATGTTAAAAATGTTGATGAACTTCTGGTTAGAAACCGAACACTGGCCTTTTAGTTGTTCTTCCTGGGTTTACATCTGAATTTGACGATTTTTTTTTACATTTCAGTGTGAAGTGAGCTTTTTTTTCATATAGACCCTTTCCGCGATATAACACCGAGAACGAACAAAATAGTATGTGTTACGAGTTGTGCCTTTAGAAAAATAAGATGGTTAGGATATTTTTTTTATTTTGCTAAATTTTCTACCTTGAGAATACTGGCAAACTCGCAATATGTCAAGATTCCTTACCAAAACATCTATTGAAATTTCATCGAAAATAATTCAGACATAAAAGGAGGATTAGATAGGAAACCCTTATCACAGAATGTTATTTTATTATGGCCTCATCTCATTTCTAAAAGTTTCAAGTTTACATGTATGTATATTTAGACCCACCCAATGATTCTGCAAAATTACACCAATACATTTGCTACCTACATACTTACGTATATAGATAAAACCCTTATGAAAAGCTATACCTACAAAAATGTATACATAATACTGTAGAAAATTTATTCATTCTAATGCATTTTGCATATCATTTTCAGCTTAAGGTTTCATAAAAATTCATAAGGGTATTTCACTTTGAAATTTGAAGAACGAATTTAATGCTTGAAAAGTGTTGAACAATGACGTTTTTTTCAGTATATTTTTCATCGAAAAGCTATTTTGTACTTATAAGGAAGAATTAATACCTTTTTATACAAATTCCTTGTTCAGATACAAGTCAAATTTTAAATTTGACTAATCAATGCCATAGAGAGGGTTATGTAGAGAGTTCTGTAGGCTAACAATTGTCATCTTTTACTTTGAATTTTACAACGAATAAAGAGAGAGCCGATGTATTCGTCAATGAGACTTGCACTACAAGAAGCGGGTCCAGGGGAAATATTGCATTTTATCTGATTTTATACCGTCCCCCCCTTTTTCTGTGGTCCTCTTCACCCATCCCATTTGAAAATTTTGAATCCGCAGCACACTAACACTATTATTGCCCAACTTCTATAGGACTTCTTTAACTTTGACTGTGGACAGACTCGTTAAAATATGAAGGGTACTCATTTGAAAATTTTATCATTTTTGTGAGACTTTGTTCTGGAAAGAAATTGGTTTCTTTCACAGAAAAAGCACAGCTTTCTATCTTCAAAGACAAATGTCAAAGGAAACATTTTTGATCTTATATCCAATCCGATTTCAACATTTTTTTAAAATTTTTAACAATCAATGTTGAAATATGTGGATTTTCTTTGTAAATATTTTTAAATGACTCTTTTATTTATATTTTTACAACTTTGTGAATGGAGCTTATATTTCGATTAACAATAGTAAAACAAATCAATTTATATTTCGCATACCTTTGTAAGTTAAACACAAAGGGCTTTTATATTGTCACCGCTCATACTCACAAACGATTCAGAAACACTTATGTGTAGGAATTTAAAAAGAAGTTATAAAAATTATACATGCAATTAAACCTCCATATGAAAATAACATATAGAAATTCTTTTCCTCAAACTATGCATGTGCATGACCAGTAAATTGTCAAAAGAAAAGATAAATTGACACTTGAGAGCTTTACATATATTATTCAAGATATGTAAAGCACGATATTATCAATGCACGAACGATATTTTCTCACGTCCACAGTAAGTAGATGCTTGATTTAAGTGCATTATTTAAAAAAAACCTTAAAAGTTTTTAGTAAAAATGACAGTTTTTGCCTTTTTTAATTGAATGTTGTTAGAATAGAGGACGTGAGAATTTTCACACGAAAACTCACTTGTAAAGCAAATTTGTCTTACTAGATTTGTCAATATTGGTCAAACGTGCTAATTTTACGTGTTAGGCCTGCGTCCAGTTTTTCAAATAGCCACAAGGAATGGATGAAATTTGACCTATGTTAAGTAGGTATGGTGTGAACTCCAACAGATTTTGTGCCATTGTTAATTTTTTTTTTTGAGAAAATGACCAAAATTGATTACTGGTTTTAAATGTAAATTACCTTTCGAAGTATACAAATTTACATAAATTATCGACACTCTCTGACCGGCTGTTAGCGCTATTAGCGGGTTCTTCAAATTAGCCTTTGTCCAGCAAGCGTAAAATGAGTGCAAAGCAGGTGACCACTTGAGTCTTTCATCTGAAGACATTAAACTCGCCCCTTCTATTTTTGCTGTGATGAGTGAGGTTTATTTTAGGTATTGAAGAATAAATTGACACTTAAAATTTTCCTTTACGTTTGTAATAAGACAGACTAGGCTGAATGAAACCATTTAAGATTTCTCTGATTACCATTTAGTAGTGAAAATAAAAGTTGTTCTTTTGCCTAAAACCAGATTAAATATCAGATAATGCCCTCAACTGCTCTTGTATCAAGATCATACAAAGAAAATAAATTTAAAAAGCACGTTCCTAAAGAATTGGATGAATGGCTATTTTTTTTAACGGTCAACTTTATATTGGTGGAGAATTGAACTGAACATAATTATGGTTTGCAGGCATTAACAATACTCGTTAGATCACAAAACAATTTTAGATTCTCATCGTTCTTCCATATGTATATCATATTGCGATGAAATTTTAGAACTTCTAAAGACAGGAGAGAAAAATGCAAAAAAAGGCAATGAAAATACCAACTTTAAAAATAAATAGTTGATTATTTGTCGGTCAAAACCGCATCAATTACTTTCAGACCCTTAAACTTAATTTTCGCTTTCTTTATTTTTTAGTGTATGTAGAAAGGCCGCAACCAGAAGAACCAAGATATGTTGAAATGGTGACATCTTCACGTGACAGACTAAAACAGCACGTCCCGTCCCGTATTGGTACCGGAAGCTGGTCAACATTCCAAAGCACTTCCGCCTTGCCTCTTCTTCAGTCTCAAAACTCTGAAAACATATATGTGAACTGTATGGATTATCCTATGGCTAAAAGTAAAGATACACATGATTATGTTTATTTGGAATCAAACTGAAAAATAGAATCAAACTCGTGCTTTATCTGTGATAAAATAACTTAAACTATGTGACGTGCATACATGCACGAAGAAACTTTCTAGTCCGAAAAAGTTGGATTCTGGGAAGTTTAAAAGACTATACATTCCTTTAAAGCCAGTATACAAAAGGAAAAAGAAGAAGAAATACAGCACACTGTGTACAGAACCTTTGACAGCCTTTCTCTGCTTGATGAGGTAAGCAGTTGAATAATTTACTAATGTCACTTTGTTTCGTGTATACTTGCATGTTGGTATTTATTGACATCGTACCGATTTGTCAAATTCACTGAGAAACCATACAGTTCTTTGCATCAAACATAGTGTGATAATGTGTGACTCAATATGATTTTATGAATGAAGCGTGAAACCGTTTCTTTTGCATTTTTATTTTTTATTTGCATTTTCCATTTAAAATTTATGAGAGTTTGCAGTTTTTACAAGCATTATAATCTTTTTTTTACGTTTTTACTGAAGGAACCTATATATTATGTTCAATACTTATCACGCTGGAGGCCAAATTATTTTATATCAAATACATATTTATAAGATTAAAACAGGAAATGTAAGGTGCATAAGCATAACATCTATAAATAGAACAATGTCTGATTTTTTGCAATTTCTTATAATTGTACACTTTCTGATTTCAGGTTTTTTGAAGTGGAGAAAGGAAATATGTATAAAAAAACATTTGGACTACCCATGAAGTGCAGTATATATACTCAGGAAAGACACTCGTTGACATTGTGGAACTTCTCTTCCATGCCTGATCTATTTCATTATTTATTTAATATTATTGACAGAATGATATTATTTTATAGTAATTTATTTGTTTATATTTGTTGTTTCTTTTGTTGTAAATCAATAAAATTATGAAATGAAATTCTTAATTTAAAACACTACGACTGTGGGATATATGAGGGTCTATAGGGGGGAAGGGGGGGGGGGGCTTCATTTCAGTATTCTTTAATTTTAAGTTTGGCCAATTTTCTGTATTCCTTATAAATTTTGTCTGTTATTCTCTATTCTTTATAGTCTTAGCACCCTAAAATTCTCTATACTTCATTCTTTTTTGGTCTATTTTTCTCCATTCTTATTGCCCTTTATTATGCATTCTTTACCAATTATTCTCTATTCTGTAAACCCCATCCAGACCCTTATATATTCAGGCTAGTCTGTCTTATATATGATTAATTGGTTGATTTATGGTTACTTATCAGTCCAGCTGCAAATATACGACAATTGAACAAAAATTAAGACAATTAAGTCAACTATTAAATCGTAAAAGGAATGAATTCCGAGTATTTTTTTCTCGTAGATATAAGAAAGAGAAGAAACAATATAAGAGACAATAAAAACTCCTAGCAAAACTGGAAAACAGTGAGAAAACAAACCACAATAAGAAAACATTACACAAAAACCTACAGATTGAGCAACACAAGCCTCACTTAAACCGGGGGTTAATTAAGGTGCACGTGACGGGTCAGCAGTTTCTGCTTCACCAGTGACACCCATTGTTCAACTTTTGTTAAATTACAGTGGCGGATCCAGGGGGGGGGGGGGTTCCGGGGGTTGGACGATCAATGCTTTTGAATGGGGACATATGGTTGGACCAACTTTTAAAAATGGCTGGATCCGCCCCTGAATGAACTGATCCGTCAAAATCAGAAGCTCTGGTACACAATTTTTTTCTGGTTAAATCCTCATCGAAAAATTTGCCTGACGCACTAGAATTCGGGAACATGCCACTGCTTTCCAAATTATGTACTGTTTTATATACAAATATTTTTGGTAAAATAAGATGTATTATGATTGCCAATGATACAATATCCACCAGAGACCACATGAAATTGATGTTAAGGTAGTGGTCATCTTGTTGGTAGATGCAATTTGTAGGTTTTGTGTGTGGTTAAGTTTTACCACATATGGTAACTGACGAATATTTTATTGCTCCAGACCTCCTTCATTTTCGATTTTTTTAACCACTATAGAGCCAAAAAATGAGACTGGAGTTACCTTTGAACAATGAAACAACCCAAATCTCTCTTTTTTAATGTCAGGATCCGTATGTATACAACGCATCTGATTTAATGTAAGCACCCTTGATACCAAAGATTCAGTATCAATTTTTCTGAAAGCTGATTGTAATTTTTAATGACATAACTGTTTTCAAAAGTGTTAATTTCTTCTATTCCATCAACCATACGATGACGAGGGTTCTCTTTATTTAATTCTAAATTTGTTGCTATATTTAATATGTGTTAATGGATCTTCAGTATGCGTCTTTGACATTAAACTGGACCCTCTCATCCAAATTTTTGTTTCTGAAATAACTCATCAGAAATGCAGAGGACAAAACTAACAAAAAAAGGTCTCATTTTGTCAACAAAAATTGAAAACTGATGTGCAAGCAATAATTCACTTCTATTTTTATAGCATAAGCTATGCAGCTGCTGTCGGTCACACGCATGTATAACAAACGTTAATGAGACGACCAAACCATATATACATGCACGCACTAGAATTAATCGTGGGTGTAGGTAGATTCACAGAAACATTATTACAATATATATTTTACAAGAACAGTTACTTCAACAAAAACTGAAATCTTAGTCGAGAAACGAGAAGGGAAAAAATCCAACGATGACAAATTACCCAAACCAACAAAACATGCGATGTACATCATTCATTATCTTACCTACCTTGAGGCCATTCCTGTATTAAATCCATTAGTAGTCGGCAGAAATCAAAAGTTTATCTTCGACAGAACGATAATGGCCTCGTTTATGTTATTTACACATGTTTCCATCATTGTTGTGACAGTTAGTAAATATAACTACACAAGTTTATATTGACATTGTGTAATTTGGGGACAAAACAATTAGATGGAAGGAGGGATTGTTAGTAAATTGCCATTAACTTGGGATAGTTTGGCCAGTTATCGCTTTGTTTTTTGAAAGTGTCATCTCGTACAAATATATCTGAAAAATAGGGACCTGTCATTAGGAGACACTCACATGTATACATAGGACATGGTACAACACTGTGCTGAAACATACCATTGAAATATCACAAGTATAATTTTTGCAACTGATATGAATAATTACATTTTGTGATTGACCGATGTTCTCTTTTGGAACCATGAAAAATAGAAAAAGATTGATCATCAACCAATAAATTACGCGCTTTTGTATACCAGTATGCCACATTTGTTTGCGACTGGGTTGTCTGTCTCCGCTACTCTTAATTTATATAGCTTGTATATTTGTTTATATACTATAATCTAAACAACACGAAAAAAATGTCCAGAAAACCTCTTCTTTAAATGTATCCACATATTTTTCTAAGCTGAAATTTGTTTTGTATTCGAGATGACACCCCTTTTTTTATTTTTAAATTACTAGTAATCTATTTAAAATACATCTAACAGAATTTCATAGAGCAAAATGTTTTTTTTTTAATTTAATTTTGACCAAAAGATTGAACAATGGTTAATAAAAATGTCAAAAGGGAAATGTTTTAATGACAAACATAAAAGCCATCTTTTTTAAAAGCAAAATCACGTACTAAAGTTTGCCTAATGATTTTAACACACCTGTCATCGTATAAAACGACTTTTTAAACAGGTATATACATTCGAAACTTTCTTACAAAGTGTCATGCCCTGTCCGAACATAAAAAAGGGTTATTTCTTTTCTTATTAGTAAAAGTTTTTTAAAAGGTGTATAATGAATAGGACCATGGGAAATACAAACATACGACAGCATTTTTGTTGTTATTGTAATGTCTATACCTTAAACAAATTTCTGCCAAAAAGATTAATAGCAAAAGTAATTTAGTGACGCTAAATTTCAAAAAGTTTGTTTTTATAAATATTTGAACAATAAATTATCTTTTATATGCATTTGAATTGCTAAATTTCCTGTCACACCAGTGAAATATTAACAAATAGCGTATAATTAATGACCACATATGATTTAAGTAGCTTTTTATGCTTGCCACATTGAATATTTGTTTGCTTAATTGGGAAGTGATTTCTGCGCCAACAGGTGCGCGAAAAGATGTTAATGATGATTTAATGTTATACAAGTAGTGAGAATTTACTAAAACATTGAATCTGAATCTGTTTCTGGTTAAAATGAAAGAGGCTGAATCTGATCTGTTACAGGGGCTACCATACTGAATATGGTACGCAAAAAAAAAAAAAAAAGTCTTCCATAATACAAACGCATCCTACGGTTTCTATGACATACAGTGAGACTTAGAAAATTAATGCATAACGGACAGTGTCAAATATTACGTGCACATTCAATCATTTATAAAAAAGGGGGGGGACTCATTCGGGAAGATGACCTCATAGTTCAGCTTAAAACATTATAAATGCTGAATATCTAGTAACATATAATGGCACCATACACTTGGTGTAAATTTGGAGCCAGTGAAGATGTTTAAATTCAAACAATTATCAGAAAAATATCAAACGTTTAATCTTGTCCCAAAAATAAATTAAGAAAGAAAAGTTTCAAGGTTATAGAAAATTCTCTCATAATCTTGAATTATGTTTTAGCACTTTCAGACAAAATGCCAACCATTTATCTTTAAGCATCTCTATCAACTGAAACTTATCAAAGAATTTTATCTCCGATGAATATGACTGATTTCAATGTTTCACATTTCCCATATTTCAAAAAGAACGTTGATGAAATCTCGATATAAAAAAAGGTTTATCCAAATGCTGCAGATATAAAATTGATTAAGATAAACAAACACCTGCCGTTGATAAGACTTATTAAGCTTGAGTGGAACTAGGGCAGAGAACTGCAAGTTATATTTTGGGTTATCAGGCATATCTACACAAGCACGTGCTTTGGACGTCATTTTTGCTTGTTTTTCGCCTCCATTACTAAAGATCGCAATGATAAGAACGCGCCTTGAAAATTAAATTTTGTTCACGTACTTGAAACACCATACTTTTGGGAAATTAGAAAGAGATGATTTTCTATCTTCTCTGTTGGAGGCAATTCTTTTATGTAGCAACGCTTTACTCGATTAGCGGAATTACCTTATCTCATACGAAGATCGTTTTACAAAAAATTATGATAAATTTCTATCTTATCTCAAAGAAAAATATACAAAACATAGCGCATTCATTTTTCTTATCACTGATCATAAATGCTTTAACGATCATGATGAATTAAGTGTTTTGATACACTTTATGATTATTTGTTCAAAAACCTGCTCTCATCTTTTACACAAATAAACACTTACCAGAATAATAAAGTACTTTGTTACAAGCATATACTTTAATTGGTTTTTTCAGGGGGGGAGGGGGGTATTGATTTTGGTGTTTTGCTGTTTATCGTGTCGGTGTGTCTCTTTTACCAAAAAAAAACCAAAAGTCTCGAGGATTTAGAACTAATGTTATAGACTACACTGTACAGTGGACTTAGAAACCAAGATGGAATGAGGAAAGAGGCTGTTAATTTGGGATGATTGAGAAATTAAAAAAGCAGTCTGGCATGAGACAGGTGACGAGTTGTTTGTGGTGTACATGAAAATAAACTACTAGTTTTCAGGTTAGACAAAGTATCACCTTTTTTAAGTCCATTGAAGTCAATCAAACGGTTTTATAAGTATAGTTTCAGTCTTATAATCAAAGTGCAAGAATGGTAATGTATATTGTATATATATACACTTGTTTACTGTTGATGACCTTGATATGTTGACCTATCATGTTCTTTTGTTTGTTGTTTCTTTTTGGGTTGCTGTCGCATTGATGGATGTCCTCCCTTGGGGGTAAAGGGGGGGGGGGGCGGTCCCATTATACAGTTCAAGCACAGACTTTTTTGTTTTTCAGTTTCATATTTATCGTTGTCTTGCCAG